CCGAACCTCGTTTCGATTTGAACTTGCCGACCTCACCGCCGTGAAAGATATTCTCGTGGACGAGGTCGACGCTCTGAGCGCTTGGCGACACCTTCCCGCGCAGAAAACGTCTGGCGTAGACGCCAATCCCTTACCACTCCACGAGGACCTGTTTCATGTTCAGGCTGGCGCATTGGGCGTGGCCCCGTCGGGGGGATTGGGCTCCGAGAAGATCTGCTGCAAACTCTGCACGAGAGAAGTTCAACGATCGAAAATGAGACTGCACGTGGGAGGTCACATTTTGAAGGACAAGGTGCGGGTGTTCTTTATTTTTTTTGGCATGGGAATGCAAGACCGGGTGAGATTTAACCTGTTTTGATACTGCTGTAGTGTGCAATGCTGTTTTGATACGTGCATGGCTTCGTTATTTTTCATTAGCATCGTATAGACTTCACCTGCGTGGCCTGCTTCACCCTGTCTCCTGTGTTATTATTTCGCGAGATGTTGGGCAACGGTGCTTACCGGACGCGCGTGGACTCATGCCGCATATTTCAATCCGGCGTGGAAACGTCAGCGGCACGCTCACGATCCATCCTCTCTCCCTTTTTGTTGTAGGCTTTGCAAGTGAGCACTGTCTGTGGCTTCTGTGGTGAGGTCGGGTGCCGCAGCACCATCCATGATCCACCAGGCAAGGCCAGGCCCCTGGTGCACTCGACCTGTCCATCAGCGCCTCGGAGCGACGCACGCCAGGAAGCCGTAGCTCTGAACCTGGGTAGTGCGAAGGCGGGCTCAGATACCTCACCGTGCACCAACATGGTCTTGAAGTGCCTCTTCTGCTCCCAGGACACCTACATCTGGAAGTATGGCATGTCCGAGCACGTCACAAGATGCCACCGGGAGGACATACTTGTGGCGGCGGGTACGACGGTAGATAGGTTCAAGGAAGCCTACACTATCTCGGAGAGCGAGAAGGCCAAGGTACTCCAAAAATTTAAAACCGGGAGGCCTCGCCGACGTGGTCAAGGAAACGAAGCCCTCCCCACTGGCGCACTTGGGAGCACGGAAGGGAACGGCACTTTCGGCCGTAACATGTCCGGCACCCGGTCCTTGGAGGACATGGGCGAGGAGGAAGAGGAAGAGGAGGAGGACGAGGAACAAGACGACGACGACGACGACGACGACGACGACGACGACGACGACGACGACGACGACGACGACGACGACGACGACGACGACGACGACGACGACGACGACGACGACGACGAAGATGAAGACGACGACGGCGACGGCGACGACGAAGACGACGACGACGAAGACGAAGAGGAGGAAGAAGTAGAAGAGGAAGAAAGGCGGGCAGGGGGGGTGGAAGGCCAAAGCAAGAAGCGACCGGCTCGCAGAAAACGTAGCGAGATACCGCGCGAGAACTCGGAAGTAGGGGTCCGCGTGAGTAAGCGGGGTAGAGTGATCAAGAAAAACGTAACCCTACAAGACCAAGGCTACTCGTAGATTTGCATGACTATGTTCTCTGTTGTGCAGTGCTAGATGCGGCAATGGCAAGTTTGCAAGGCAGGTGGTTCGATGTATGGTTCTTGGCTGAGCTGTTCCGCTCATTTCGAGCTTTGGTCGATACTGTATACTTTCGTAGATACGAGACTATCGTACGTGTGTGTGTTCCTCTAGCACGGCTGGGTGAGCATGGGCGACCATCGATGACGAGCAGATGCGGAAGGGGTAACGACACACTGTTCCGCTCATTTCGAGCTTTGGTCGATACTGTATACTTTCGTAGATACGAGACTATCGTACGTGTGCGTGTTCCTCTAGCACGGCTGGGTGAGCATGGGCGACCATCGATGACGAGCAGATGCGGAAGGGGTAACGACAGCGAGGCATGTTTGCCATCCATCTAACCTTGCCTCATGGCAACTCATGGTAACTTTTCGACGGTTCACGGTAACTTTTCGAATTTCTCCCCCCCTCCGGGGGGGGGGGGGGGGGGCCTATGTGTCTTGAATTTTTTTCTACGAGTACCCTTGGTCAATCCTCAAAGGTCAAAATTCCGCGTCAATCCATAGTGGATACCCTATGTTATATGGGAAAAAATAAAATAAAAAGATCGCTCGATTTTTGTATTTCTACAGCAGTATGGACCAGACGCCGACTGTACATAGAAGTCGTACGAGTGTCGACTTAGTTGTGCTGTCACAGCATCTTTCACGCACTTCTGCCAGGGCTGGTTTGTTGATTGGAGTCTTGTAGGTCGAGATACAGCCGTGAGATTCTCGGGTTGTGGAGGCGAAAGTGAACCAGAGCAGAAAATTGCATGCATAGCTCGATTACTGCTGTGTTTTTTCAACAGCAGTATGGACTAGACGCCGAACGACTTCCGCGTACTACCGCAACGACCTAACTGGATGGGATACTTCCTGCCACGGCGAACCATAGTACAATGCGATGCAAACATCCGTTCGTGTGTCGTGCGGCTGCCACATGTGTCGACGACAGGTACACGTAGAGCTCTCGCCAAGTTTTGTCGTTACCGCGCATGCATGAGGACCCCTCGGAGATGTTCCACATGGTGCTACAACGACAGCAGTACTACTGTACATAGATGTCGTAGGAGAGTGGAGTTGTGCTGTCACGGCATCTCCCACGCACTCTCCTACCGGTGCTTGTGTCGATTGGAGTCTTGTAGGCCGAAATACAAGAGTGGGTTGGATTCCCGGGTTGTGGAAGCAAACCTGCCTGCAACAACAGAGAAGGCGGTGTTCTATTTACTATAAATAGAGGGTTTCCACTAGAAATCGCTCCTAAAATCGCTCCTAAAGTCGCTCCTAAAAAGCGCTCCTAACGACGCGTCGGTTCACGCGGATAGATGGTTAATCGCGCCGCTTGTTCCGGTTTGGGGTCAACAAGACCCCGATTTATGGAATCTGCGACATGCTTCGCTGTGGAAACCCTCCGGCCCCCCATCCACTCGGCCGCTCGGTCGAGGTAGGAGGCAGCCCTCCACCATTTAATATTTGCGATGGCGCGCCTCGCACGTGCACAGGTCCGCCATGAGCGGTACCAAAAGTGCATCCAATGGATGACAATGGCGGTGATGTTGGCCATGATGGGCGAAGAAGACCTGTTCCTGGTCATGGGCGCCTATGCCCGTCAAGAGATGGCGCTGTACGACCAGCTCGTAGCACCCACGACCCTCCCTGGTGTATGTCCCCACTTCGATTTCTTCGAGGTCATTGGAGGGTTTGACTTCAAGGAGCTCTTCAGATTCGAGAAGCCTCACTTTATCAGGCTGTTGGATGCGCTGGAGCTGCCGGAATACTTCGAATTACACAGGTGAGTCTGATAGAGTCCCGTCCGAAAGGCCATCTGTCTCATCATGTAGATAGACTACGTTTGTTTCAGCACAACATATACATGTACATACAGCAGTAGTCTACAGCACCCAGCAGTGCTAGGTGAGACCACAGCAGTACTGCTGCAGCATTGCGATAGGTACCGGGGTCGCGGCATCGGGTATCGCCGTAGGTGCCGGGATCGCAATGAGCATTGTAGTGCGTTGGAACATCATGGGTTAGAGCGCGGCCGTAATCGATCCGCTGGTCTGGTGTACACGCCATTTGAAAAGCTGTATTTTTTTTGTTCGTGTACTTTGAAACATGAGCTCGTTCGTCGGTGGACAAATACCTACCGTAGCCTACTCCTGGTTGCTAATCGGCCTCGTATTATGACAATCTGCTGGAGCAGTAGTACCTAGAAATACACGCAACACAACAGCTGTAAACTGCCAACCGTGAGAGATGTGTTGTTCTTACCACGGGGTTACTGACGCCAGCCGAAACACTGGCCTGAACAAAGGCCCTCCGAAAACGCCCCCAGACTCTCAATCCTTCCTCATCGTGCTCTCGCTCTCTCTCTCTCTCTCTCTCTCTCTCTCTCTCTCTCTCTCTCTCTCTCTCTCCCTCTCTCTCTCTCCCTCTCTCTCTCTCGCTCTCTCTCTCTCTCTCGATATGCGTATTCCTTCCCCCCGGCGCTTCTGTTTCGTTGCAGAGGGGGTTACGGGGCATCCAAAGTTCCCGCGCGGCTCGCACTGGGTTTAACTCTGTGGCGCTTGGCATGCCCGACGACATTACTCCGCGATAGACTGTTCTAGGGCTTGGCAGAAGCTTTAATTTGCGAGATCTTCAACGCTACCATCGAGTGCATTTACGATCGTTGGGGGCATCTAGTTGACCAGTTGCAACACGAAGCGATCCTGCCTAAGATTGATATGTTCTGTGAAGCCATTCAAGACATGGGTTCCCCCCTAGACCGCTGTTGGGGATTTATAGACGGAACTGTCCGTGCGATTGCTCGCCCGTGGCGCATGCAGAGGCTCTGGTACAACGGCTGGAAACGTAAGCATGCCTTGAAGTATCAAGCAGTAGACACTCCTGATGGTATTTCACGGCAGCTGTGGGGGCCCATGCTAGGGCGTCGCCATGACGTCGCTCTGCTGGGCGAGAGTGCCCTGCTGCAGTCTATGCAGCAGTGGTTCAACGATGACGCAGGCACTCCGTACTATATTTACGGAGACCCAGCCTACCAGATACCGCCGTGGTTGATGGCGCCGTTCAAGGGTGTGCTCACGCCCGAGATGCAGGCTTTCAACACTGATATGAGGGCTTGCAGAGTGACAGTTGAGTGGGGCTTCGGTAAGATCGTGGCGTTATGGCCTTATGTTGATTACGCCAAGAAGCAGCAGGCCGCGTTGAGCTCGTGTGGGCTGGGGAAGCAGTACTCCGTCGCTGGCATTTTGACGAACTGTCACTCTTGCTTCTATGGTAACTCGACATCAAAATACTTTGGAGTAGGGCCGCCGTCGCTTGGAAGGTACCTCAGTGGAGAAGGGTAGGGTTAGGGCGTTGCTGTGATCACGGCGCCTTGTGTCATCGAAAGTAGGTCGTGGAAGAACGAGCTGTAACGGTCCTGAAAGTGCGTGTGTGGGTGGGGGGATTAGACGTATGGATGGATGTTTGCAATTGGTGCGGTAGAATCTCTTGTGTGTCAACGTACAGCTGTGCACATTGATGTTGTGAGGGTTTTGCGTCGCAACGTTGTCGTGCCGGCGGAAAGCTGCCATGGTTGTTGTCGCGGTTTTGTCGTTGTTTTTTGCAGGCTTGACTAAGAAACAAGCGCTAAGAGCGTTGATGGAAAACCCCGGAAAAATCTTCAACTGATTATCTTTTGCATTCGCCCGGACTACAATGTCAGGGGAGCTGTCACGTCAACGTTCCGAACAACACCTCAATCGGTGCGTCCGAAGAAAAACAGAAAACACCGAACCGGGCAGTGCAGCGATGCGTGCGGTTCGAAGTGGTGCTACGGGGATCTTGTGCGCTACGATAGCGTAACAGTCTTCAAAGAGTGGGGCAAAATCCTAGCTTGCTTGTATCAGCCCAAACGGTGGACTTCATGGATACCCTCACGGAAACTTGAACAAGTACATGTTGTTTAGCATGTTTGTTTACCTTGGAGAAATACCAAGCAAGACCAATTTTGCATCCATCCGAGTTGCGTCAGAAAGGGGACGGGCAACTCCGGGAATGCGTGCTCCAAATACTCAGAACAAATTCCTCAGATAGAAATCATGTTCAACTCAATGACCAGTTCAAATGGCCTTCGAAAGCTCAAAGGCTTCATCCATGACTTATCGAAACATGCAAAACCTTTCCTCCAACACACATACATACCATACAAGGCCTAAGACCGCACACAAACCGACGAAATACATCCAAACGTGTTTGGAAACAAGCGTCAATGTAGTACAACTTTCGTCGATACTGCTGCAGCTTCGATTCCTCCATCTCAGCTAATCCATCCACCAGCCCCCTGCTTGAAAATATCATATAATAAACGCAACGAAGATTCCATTCAACATTTAATTCCAGATCAACTCCGCAGAGAAAACGCCGAGAATGATCCGAACATGAACTACCAAATTCCCATTCAACAACATCCAAATACAGATAAACTCCGCAAGGAGAACGCGGAAAATCCACGCATGAACTACCCAACCCGATGTCAGAAATACTGCTTGTTGTACTGCGACGGGGAGCTGGTCTCGCCCCCCCCCCCCCTCCCTCCTCATTAATTCCGACAGCAGTGCAACAATCAGGCTCGATTCTGCAAGCAAGCAGAATTACAACCATAGGACGATTGGCGCGTAATTGTTTTCAGCGTGACAAGCATAACAACCACCAACAGTAACTCATCGATTGTAACTCATCGATTGCAGGTCTCGTCATGGAGAATGCCAGTGCCAACGCCAACACATGCACCACAGAAACAAGACACCTCATCCAACAGAAAAAAAACTCGATGGAGTATGAATTCAAGAAACACCACCTCCTAGAAATGAAAGCACTCACTTCTTCTTGTCGTCGGCGCTGGTGGCGCTCTCGATGTCATGGACCTTCTTCAAATACTCCGTAGCCCCAGTGGTCGACCCCGAGCAAGATAGTAGTTTGTTGGTCGCACGGCAGGTGTGTGTTGCCATGCACTTGTAGTAACTCTTCTTCTTGCCGTCCAGCAGTTTGGAGACCCGCACGCCCCAAAGGCAAATGAAGCTCGGCTTGGACTTGACGTTGTGGATGGAACAGATTGAGTAGCCATCCGGCGGCTGGTAGTCGAGGATAGCCGTTTTAACATCGGCTGGTATGTCGCTGGGAAAGTGCAGTTTGTGTACATCCGTCTCCCGCTCGGCGGTTCGCGTTTCGACGCTACCACTGCCACCACTACCGCTACGGCTACTACTTCCACCACCCCCGCCGTCATTCGGCAGATAAATAGTTGTTCATCGAGGTCTGTGTGTGGTGCCCACTCAATGGACGTGGCTTGCGCTGGGTGCCGGAGGATGCCCCAGCATGCTGGCCATCATCGGGATCGGCCATGTGGTGATGGGTTCATCATTTAGCCCAATGCTTCATAATGGGTGCGTCCCATGGGAACCCATGGGACGAGTTAGGATGATGTATTGACTGTCATCGGTGGGTTGCCTTTGATGTGCTGCATTTGGTGGCCTGCCCTTCCTTGGGCAACTGTCTGTGTGGGCTGCCCACGATGGGTTGCCCACCAAAGGCTGTCCATGGGCTCTGTGGAATAAAGTACCCACAGTTGGCTGCCCATGGTGGGCTGCCCAAGGGCTGCCCACCAAGGGCGGCCCAGGGCGGGCAGCCCACCATGCCCATGGGCTGCCCGTAGTGGGTATTTTGGGCACGCCCATGGGCATGCCCATGGGTCACCTATGGGTCGCCCATATGGGCTGCCCCGGCCATGCCCGTGGGCATGCCCATGGGTCAACCATGTTGCCCATGGGTCACCTCATGGGTCGCGCATGGGGCTTCCCATGGGCCCCCGAGGTGTCCATGTGGCGGCCCATGGGTGACCCATGGGTCATTTACCAAACCTGTAGAAAGCGTGGGAGACCCACCGGAGCTAGCCAAAGTAAGGTCCACAAAACTCTCGGTTTCATTGAGTGAATGAAACGATAAACGAATACCAAAAATATAATCATTTTTCAACCGGTCGCCCCGGTGCTCTAGCGGTAGATTCGAAACCGTTAGTCGCAAAGGTCGTGAGGTCGAATCCCCATGGGGATTCGAACCAAAACAACTTGCCAGTACAAGCGAAACATAGAAAAAAAAAGCTCACCGTCGACGAGGGAAAGGGACGACTGGACCCTTCTCGCGAAAAAAAAAATCAGCACGCACCGCAGGAGAAGGTGGGCACGAAATTAAAACGGAAAGAAGAAAACAGGTGTAAGATTGAACGCAGGAAATCTGGGGTTTGTGACGCGGGATTGAATCGTACAGTGGCAAGTAGTCTACGCAAGAAATTGCGGAGAACTTTGATCGGGGGAATGGACAAGCAAGGGCGGTGATGATGTAGTGGAGTCAACTTCAGTAGTAGCAGCAAGCAGCAAATAAGAGCGCGCACCGCAGCTGCTCCTGTGAGACGAAGGAAGGGGCGATCTTCCGTAGAGGTCACCGCGGGTTAGGAAAAAGGTCAGGGGTGGGCTTCGGGAAGGTGACTGAGCGGAAAACCCAGCGGGCTTGTCGGCGGAAGGGGGGCAGGGGGCGGGGGGGGTGGGCGTTCGTGTTTGCGGGAGGGGCGAGGAGGATCGAACTCCGGCCCTGGGCGCGGAGCAGCTCGGACAATGATGAAGCAACTCGAAATATAACAACAAACGTCACCTGTGCCATCCGGTAGATCAGACTACAGGAGAACGACGTTAAGAAACCCATCCTGGTTCTAGACTATTGATCGCCTACCGACCGCACACACATACCGTCCGCGAATGGGCAAAAAGTGCCGATCACGCCCGGCGTCGGGATCAGAGGGTCAGAAAAAACGTCTTGTAGAATTGAAATAGCAAGTGTCAATGTTCAACGATGTTCCTTGGGCATGATACATGAAGCATTGGGCGATGTTCGTTCAAGCGGCGCCCCGACCTCTACATCGTTTCCATGCTCGCGCACGGCGAGGACGACAACGCCTCTTCAACAACGGAGCGCAAGTCACACAACGTGCCCGCTTCGCGTTTGTTATCCGTTGGGGAGCATGCTTGCATCAAATGAAAGTATCTGGCGGAACTGCGAGAATACGAGGAGGGACGGTTCGAGATACTGTACAAAATGCCTCGGATAACGGGCAGGACTCGGAAACCCCAAAAATTAATAATCCGAGCATGCATACGAACGCTATGACTTGGGCTGGTACTTGCAGCGTACATGTACGTTTGTTTGTGGTACAGTAGTGACCGCATCATGGCAGGGGCGACCCTCACGACATCTTAGTTGGTTCACATTCGAACGACGGGTGGTTTTCGCCAAAGGTGTGGCAAGAAAAAATACACGGACAACATGCAGCTGACAACCAGTGAATTCCGTAAAATACGTCCATAGCCGCGGCAAATACGCATCCAACTCGTTTCTATCGGGAGCCATCTGTTTGGGTGCGGCAGCTTCGTCAGAGGCCGAAAGAGAAAGAAGATTGACTCGATACCTCTATCATTCACGATTGAAAGAGATATGGCCAAGGCAAGGCCCCGCGTATCATATATATATTATAAACACATCGTCCACGTAACCCCCGGAGACCCCGTAGATCAGTGCTCTGCCGAGTACCCCAAACAGCATCACAAGCTCTACAGGGGCATTACTTGATGAAGGGCTAGACTAATAGCTCATAGGCACCAATGAACGAATTCCGTGCACTGACAACGAGGACACCGCACCTGCTCTGCCATGTACTGAGTCGCAGCTGATGCGACGGCACAACGTGTGAAGCCCTGTATCCAAACTAAACGTGTTCACGTGTTCTGTCTAAAGACGGCAGATGTAAAACGGCATCTTGCCGGCCTGAGTTAGTTTGAGGTTTGATTCCCCTTGTCAAGACTTCTGGACCTACCTTACTGTGGAGTCGGAACCCCCTGGATCACCGGTTAGATCACAACCGCCCTTTTCTGAGCCACATCCTGGATTTGGGTCTCACCTACCCTGATAACACTGTTGTCTCGAGACCCTCCAGAGCCATTGACGAACCGGAGGTACGCGCTTGCTGGATTCACTGGGCCACACAAACATTCCGGGCGCTGCTAGTACCGGAAAGCAACCTCAAGCAACCAACGCCGAGGCTTCCAAACGTGGCCGCGGGAAACAATTTCAATTCCAACATTACGTGTTTCTGCGATCCACCGCCTGTTCCACAATACTCAGGAACCTATCAATCCTCTCGTCGACCTGTTCCTGCATCTTTGAGACATGTTCCTCAACGCGGCGTAACCGGTCATCTAACTGGGCTCTGATCCCCGCGAGGTTTTCCTCCATTCGGGCCAACCGGACCTGTACGCCATCAGTCGAGCTCGCGCGATCCTGCTCGATACTATCCAACTTCGCGTCCAAGTGGGTCAAGATTGTTTTCTCTAGGCGGTTTCGCAGTTGCTTAATATTCTCGACCGTCGTTTGCTTTCTTCTCTCGTCCGGCCGTACCTCGGGATCTCCGATTGGGTCTTCAAGGTACATTTGAAGATCGCCAGCTACAAGCCCGCCACTGTTTCCCTCCAGCAAGTCGTTCACGCTCTTTGGATTCCAAGAAGCTATGTAGGGCGCCTGGCGGCGATCCCATACCCAGCACCAGGGTCGTAGCTTGAGCCATTTCATGGGCGCAGTGAGCCAAAATGCCATGAGGTACAGCGGGGCCCCAAGAACGCACCAAAAAAATACGATCAAATACCGAACTAGGAGTGAACCAACAGACAACGCACCGCGTCTGGCCTGCGCCTTGCTATAGAAGTGCGTATGCCATACAAAAGGCGCAAACAACGAGGACAACACCCACAACACCGTTCCACAAGCGGCCGCAACAGGCCCCAAAGCGAGCCAAAACGCCATCCGGCCTACCGCTTCCTGTGCGCGCGTTGATGCAGTCCCTTGCCCTGATCGATCTCTGACCATGACCGGCAGCGATAGTATCAGCTGCACTAGATTAAAGGGGGGGGGTAGCAAGCACATGTCCACCACCATTCGATAGTGCTCGATTATTCGGGCTTTCGACACCTTGAACTCTTGATCAGCCTTCCCCTCCACCTTGGAATGGGATGTGCTCAAGACGGCAATCAGAAGGTTGAGCAGCATCACGGCAATAACAACCAGGTAGATGACAAAGAGTGCGGTGGCCACCGAGTCGTACTGGTTGCCTGGAAAAGAGCCGAAGAAGTCGACCTCACCCAACATAGCTTTGAACAAAGTGAGGCACGTTCCGCCGAACGTGTCGACGTCCCCGAACAGAGCGTGGAAGGACATGGCAAACCCGAGCATCACGACGATTATTACGACTCCAAACTTGACGAGCTCCGCGGTCATGCTGAAAACAACCTGACGACATGGTGGAGACCGCAAACGATGCCAGACGTGAGGAGGAGGGACTCTTCCCTCGCCAATCTTCACGAACCGAACATATAGATACATAAATATCCCATTCCATAGAAGCTTCAGGCCCGGGAAAAAACATCCCCTCTATTCAATGTGCCGAAGGGTCTCCTTGCCGCCTTAGACCCAAGCCACAAGAGTGACATTCGAGCACGCTTTCCCAAAACTGCGTGTGGCAAGTCGCTCTTGAAACTAAACTAGTCAGGGATTGTTGTAGTTCTAGTTTCCGACAAGACATGTAGAAGAAATGGACTCCATTCCTCGCGAACGTTCCGTACAAGTTGTCGATACTTGAGCGTCGATACTTGAGCGTGGATATTCCACCGTCAGGCATTTGTCCTGAAGACAACCAACCACAGTTGTAGAGTTGAAACGTACGAAAGTCATACCACAGAACGTACTCGGCCAACACTGATAAGCAGAACAAGGTAGGCACATCGACCCACTTGATAACGGACACACTAAAACTTCACCTGGATCATCGGCCCGTGGAATCGCAGCATCTGAGCGAAGAACAACAGTCGCGAAAATATCAGGGGAGCACTGAGAGCGTACAGAGCTCGCCCCCATGAGTTGTCCCCGTCGGCACATCGGACAATTAGCCCGCCGGTCACGAGCCCAAGCCCCAGCAGATCTAGAATGTTCCAGTGGTCCGCCGCGTAGAGGCCGAAATCTCTCCTCATCTCTTGTCCTTCTGTGATAATGCCAGCCTTGGGACAGGCAAGCGTCAGCGACCAGCGGTTGTAAGGTCGGGTTTTAGTGTGCCCCTTCCTGTCACGCAAAACACCACTTTTGGAATAATGGTAAATTATCGTGAAACGATGTTGCAGAGAAATGTCGAGGCAATCGCATCTAACACGCCTCTACTCGGTGCCTCCAAGTGACGTGCTTCAAACAACACCAACACGATGCCTCCGGGAACAAGATCTGCTGTGGATGCTTGATGTCACTGCCACCGAAAGGTCTAAACCGCAACGGCTTGACATGATGTTCTACTTGCGGTGAAGCATGAACCTACCAGTATGTAAAAGGCGAAGGCGGCCTCTCCGGGGGTCAGGGGCCCGTCTTCGTGGAAGAGCACAACGGTGCTGAAAAATACCAACATGCCTAGATACACCGCCAGGTCCAGCAGCATTCTCATCGCTGGGACGCGATAGTACTGATCCGGCATACCAACCAGCCCAGCGATCGTAAATTGCGCCCCCGGGAGGAAGGTTAGACTAACGGCGGTGTTCCAGAGACCGGCACAGTTTGCGCCCTGCAGAAGGATGCAAGGGGACAACAACGTGTCGATGATCTTGCGTGAATCCAGTAGCTTCCCCTCCTGCCCGATCTTGTCCTGGAGATCAAGCAAGAGGCACCGATCAAGACTTCTGCCATCTTCCTTCCTTCGTCCCTCTTCGTCCAAGGCGAGATACTTCTGCCCCGACATGAGTTCTCCCGGCCCGCCCCTGGCAAGGTTAGTCAGCTCCCTTCTATCTCCGAGAATGTTCTGCGTGTCCCTTAGACCAGGGAGGCCATACGTAAAGCGGCGAGAGAGGAAATCCGTGAGGAGTGGCTGTGTGCAAAACGTCTGGACGTGCTGTCGCTCTTGCAGCGCCAGCCGTAAAGGCCCGGGCAACCCTCTTGCATCCTCCCTCGAAAGCTCGGGCTCGAACACAGCCGAGCAGCCAGTCATTCCCCCGTCGAACCCCTGCACAGTCTGAGGGAGCCTTTCCAGAATCTCGAGCAACAGGGTATCCACCCTCTCCTGCAGGGAAAGGAGTTTCCGACGCTCCCCTTCGGGAGCTACGCTGGCCGACTTGGCAAACGCAATCGACAGGGTCATTCCGGGCACGAACGGGTTGTCGGAGCACGCCACGGTCTCCAGGAAGCAAGTCCTTAGCCACTCGGCAGATCGTTCTCGTGACAGCTGGATGAGATCTGCCGTATCGAACATTGTCGGGTATTGAAGCAGGCAAGACAAAGCCCCTATGGCCCAGTCAAGCCCTCCGCCACCCGCTCCCTGCGCAAAGTTTGACTTTTCCAGTACCACCGTCGTCCAGTCCGAGAACCCAGACCCAATGAACGCCCCAAAATCCAAAACCCCCTGGTTTATGGAATCGGAACAGGCGCGAAACGGGTCGACTTCTCCCACAGTGGGCGTGTTGACAATAGTCATTCGCCATCATAAAAGGACAAGTACAGAGAGTTTCGTGTACCAGATCTAACACAACATGTGCCCATGCTCGGCAATACACACGATTGTTGGGACACGCTTTGAGTAAGGCTTACCTGTTCAAGTCGCGTGCAGTGCACAAACTGTATCACGGCTCCCACGATGGAAGGATCTCGACTCCTGACGGCCCCCTTCACCAACACGTTGGCCAGCCCCGAGTTGCGCGACAAAAAGCCAAGGACCTTCCATGGGGCAAAGGCACACGGTGTTCAAATGATATGGGCGTTCGTGTTTGGGAAACTTCACAGCGCTTGGTCATGGCGAAAAGCCACCAGGTCAAAACATTTCGGGCATCGACGTGAGCAGTGCCCCACCAAAAACAAATATATGCAAGACACCACCGAGCGCGTTGTGGAGGGAGTAATTGATATTGTCCTTCAGCCACGATAGTCACCCGATCCCCCAGCGCCATGTTTCGAACGGCGAATAGGGATCAAGCAAGGTCCTGGACGCCACGATATATTCCAATACCACGTACCTGTTCTGGTTGGACAAGAAGTAAGTCGTGCCGAACCGCTTCCCACATCCGCACGGTGCCTTGCGAAGCCGCCGTGCGCAGCAGCAGACTTGCCCCCTTGTCGTCGGATACCACACTTGTTTTCGCCTGGCCAAGCGCCTGGCCAAGCGCAGGGAGCGCACCCGCATATGAGAAATATTGTCGTGCATGATTCGCTTGTATTACACCCTCAAGTGGGCAACACGTGATCACGAGCTGACAAAAAGTCTTCCATGACGCCAAACATTGCGTGATCACAGTCTAGGAAACGAGCCTCAAACCCTTGCGACATTATGCCCACTTTACCTTCCCTTCCCTTGTGTCATTCACGACCGCCTGCCAGAGCTCGATACTCCCACTCTTCGCCGCAGCAACCAGCAGTTCTGCATGCATGCTAGACGTGCGCATCGCGTCCCTGACCTGTTCCCGCCGCAGCAGGACACGATGTTAGGTCTCAATTTTCGTATATTTCAAAAAAACCTGCATCGTCACGCCCACCTCCCCCCGAACATCAACTTTCATATAACAATGTTGTGCAGCTGTTGGACAACTACAGCAGTAGACCTAATGCTTGTGACACGCTCATACAGTGGGGCTACAGAAAAACGAAAGTGCCCAGCTGCTCTGGTGATGATCAGCTTTTCAACCACATTTGTTGGCAGCAATACCCTAATCCTCTCAGGCACGAATACGCTCGTGCAAAGTACGTCATGCGACCTGTAGACGGCGATGTAAGGAAACCGCTCCGTGGAGCGCAGCATACGTTGTTGGATTCTGCTACCAACGGGCCTCTACCTGCCAGGAAGACAGGGCAGCGAGCACCGCCTCAAACACTTCCTTGCTACCGCTGCTGACCGCCAAGGTTATGAGAGACTTGCCGCCATTTCCTGTAGACGTCAGCAACGTCTTGACCTGTCGAAAGGTTTCAAGTTTTCGGGCATGTTAAAGATGCCTCAAATGAACGAATGGGTGGCTGATGTCGCAGCGGTCCAGCTTGATCATAAAGCCGAGGCATTGGTCTGCCTGCTATTTTTCGTTTGTTTCAGGTATTCCAAGGACAAAAAAATCAATAAAATAATTGCGCTAGAGTGTTGTCAAGTGCCGTATGTATATACAGCAAAAAAACGGAGGCAGGTACCGCGCAAGGATCGATCGTTGTCTATTCGTTTCTGAAAATATTGGCGTTTTGGGTGTCCGAAAGGCCCACAAAAAGACGACCTGGTTTCACAACTGCCACGTATTTGCGAGAACGTTCGTGATCTACTCGTATAGGTAAGTATTTTCCGGTTGCGGCCATTGCCGCCTCAATGCTAAGCCTAGCTGTAAAACCTGAGAAGACAGCCAATGCTCAGGACATCCTATGCTCAACACTTGACGCTGGTGTTCACGTAATCTCGCGTTTACCTCATCCGGAGGCAGTTCAAGCTCCAGGGACCCCAGCGCAGCCTCAAACGTCCCCCTGCTCCCACTGCTGGCCGCAGCGCAAAGGACTCGCCCAGAGTCGCTCCTAGAAGACCATACAGTCACGTCTGTCCCCTGGCATTCGAACCAGAGGCAAAGACAAAAAGATGCAGCCCTGTTACTTCCGAGAAGCAATACACACAGGATATTGGTCTCCCGACAGTGCAATACGCAGCTGCATGACCGAGAGAAGTATCAACGCAAACAACGCTCGGGACGATGTGGCTACGGAACGCCACCATCGTGCCAAGACTCGTGCACCTTTTGAGCGGCCGGAGTGCCCTTCACCGCCGCCAGAACAGTTCCAAAGGACTCCTTGTTCCCGCTCTGAGCTGCGAACTGCAGGATCGTCTTGCCGTGCTTCGCTTTAGACGTCAATATCGCCTGAACCTGGAAGGAACATCACGCAATCAAACCGAAGACATCAACGCCTTTGCGAGCAGAACCGCGACAACATGACAAGAGACAATACCGCAAAGTACAAGCTCGAAAGCAACGAATCCCGTTCGATTATGGATCACACCCTGGAGCGATCAGTACACCATCGTCTCTGCATGCGGGGTGCGAGCGCGGTTGGGGAGGTGGTAGACATAAAGCAAAACTGTTGCGATGTGGCGACAAAAACCGCGAGCGCTGCGGCAACCGAAGTGGGCGGTTTCCCTGCACACCGACAACGCTGGCGACGCTTCCTATCGATTTACCTTCTCTGGGCCGAATGTGCGGAGCAGCGTGGACAACACCGCTTCAAACATGTCCTTGCTACCGCTCCCAGCCGCAGCATGCAGGAGAGTCTTGCCGTCGTCGGCACGAAGGAGGAAATTTCTCGCCTAGGGACCAGGGGTTCGGTTCGGTTCAAAGTTTGTTGCAAGGAGTGACGTGAGCAAGACCAAAACGCAAAAATAGCTGCACGGTTGACTCTTTAATCGTTCGAGATTCTTCGACAGTGTTCGTCGTTGGTTCTGGAGTTGATTCAGAGTACTCGACAATTTTCAACGTCGACTCTGTAATCGTTTAACGAGTCTTCGACGGTTTGGAGGGTCGAGTCAGCGTTCGTACCTCGGTCGGCGTCAGTCGGCTCGTCACCGACGACAACACGGTGTCAAACGCGTTGGTGCTCCGACTGTTAATCGCCGAATGAAGGAGGTTCTCCTGGAGGTCCATATCTTGATAAATCATCATGCGCTTCACCTGGCGTCGCACGCAAGTCCAAAAAATGGTGGATCGTTGGCGACAGAGGGCGATGGGCACCTATTTGCTGCGGGCTACGTCGGCAAGAAAAAACGAAGGTCCTTACCCAGTGTGCCTCCGTTGATACCGTTCCAGAGGGTCAGCCAACATGCAGAAAAACATTGATCAGGGGTCTCGGTCCAAGAGAGGGTCTCGCTGACTGGATGACAACATCTCTTCAGGCAGCGTATCACGTTTGACTGGCAATAGCTTGTCTTGAAGCTCCTACTATGCAGCACCCAACTACCGCCAGACCATCTCGGCGGACAACACACCCACTGGAGGACTTCGCACCTGCCAAGCAGAAAGACACCGTTCGAGCAAATCCAGGACTGCCACGAAAACCTGGCTTCCCCCGCTGCTGGCTGCCGAGTTCAGCACCGTTCGGCTTTCGCTGAAAATGTCATTAGTTGAGGCTGCCGTAGACGCCGCCAAGAGGTGTTCAACCTGAAGACGCGAAAACGCGCATTCGCAGGAGAAGGTTTTGGAGCGATCGCGATTGCACGGCGTGTGCTGGGTACGATACTCTGTGGCCGGCCGGTGACCTGGGAGCGGAGTCTCGAAACGAGTGACGTGGACTGCGGCCAACTAATATTTCCGACACCAGAACGATACGTGACAAGTTTTAGTGACGTCACCATGGTGACTCTAACTTGCCGCACCTCGCCTTGATCCAGCCGGCTGCCTAGAGCTGACAGAACGGTCTCAAACGTGTGCAGGCATCCGGTGGCTGCGGCCCAGTGTAAGATCTTTTGGCCATCAGCATCTGGGGTCATCATCAGCTCTTTCACCTGCAAACGCATCCAGCGCAAAGCAGAAGGTAGGGAGGCAAACATAGCCCAATCACTATAAAACTGAAGGTCCATGATGGCAGTCGCATGCGGTGAGCGTTCGGCGCTAGCCAACGGCGACTCTTGTGGACCCACCTCGTTCCTGGTCAGGTCTTCCTCCAGAGCAGCAAGCGCAGCCTCAAACAAACCCTTGCTCTTGCTCGCGAGTGCCATCGCCAGGATTGTACGTTCGTGCCCATCTCTTGCCACCAGTGCTCGTCTCACCTGGTGATGATCGTCCGGTTGGATTACTACGGGGTGGCGTGGAAGAGGTTGACCACTCATGGGTCTTGTGCCACGGGAGTAAGTCAGTCCTCTTGCGTGATAACGGCGCCTTGCAGTCAAAGGTGCCGTGGCAAGCCAAACCACCATTGCCGGCCATTTGCGATCTTGGGAACAAGAGAGCAATAACGCATGCTCAATGGTCAAATCGACGCTAGACCAGTGAACTACTGTACTTCAACCAAGGGTCATTCAACAGGTATGTAGCAGCGTAGGAAAATTGTTTTTCTCTTTGAACAAGCGCATGAAGGCACGGAAGATGGGGCCTTGAACATGCACTGCGACATCACGTGCCTGCTGAGGCCTCAGGTTGGCTCGCATTGCTCCGAGGACAGTCGAAAACATCCCAGTGCTCCCAGTAAAAGCGGCGTGCAGGAGCGGAACTGTCATCCGAAACAGCCCGTTGTCGTCGACCCGTGGAGGGTTACCCCTTCTCCCACCGTAGCACCCTGTCAGCTCTCGGTCCATGGAGGCCTTGCTCATATTCCTCAACAGATCTAGAAGAGCCGTTACCTCCGCCGGGACGGCGGAACAAATCGCCGACTCCATCGTTGTTGCGGGCTAACGAAACGGTAAAGCGAACATCGGAGCGAAGAGGTTAGTCCGATGCGGACGCGGCTACCTGGTCGGTGCTGGCATCCTGTGTACCATGGTATGAATTTTCGCCGGAGCCTTTTTGTAAAAATGCTACCAGCAACTATCTACGATGTAGTACACGCTCGCGTCCTGCGGCATTAAGACACGGCACTCTTAGTTGTCAGCTGAAAACACCTTGAAGCTAGCTCGGTGGCTGCCAAACTAACAACTTTTCACGCAGTAATTGCCGAAAAAAGAAATACCGACACAGGAACAAGCGCAAGTGGTGGGGTGAAGAACCGAGTCCATATCGCAGACGAAAGGTTCCGATAACAAACATCCCACCTTCTGTGTACTCGCCAGAGAACTCCGCTATAGGCTCGCCGAACATGAGAAAAAAATGGCAACAGAGCGAATGTTTTTTACATTCCGTCAGTCTAAAGCAAGACAACTTGGAGGATGCACCGGAGTTATTGATGTTGTAATTCTTCTTCGTGTATATAGGGTACTTATCCAGATCGATCACATGCAAATGGAGGCGCGACAAATCGACGGCAAACCTGTTTCAATACCGCCAAGCTCGGGTTTCATTTCATGTGTGCAATGCGGCGGGGGCGAAACATGGTGCCGTTCTTTCTACACCCTGGCGCTTCGTGGGTGCGACAAAAGGGGTCATGTTCACGTTCATGACCAGCCGCAGGAAGGAGAGATGCGGCTTGTCAAAACGGAGAAGTCCCAGCGCTCATCGGGAAGTAAACCTACCCGTGTATTTCTGCGCACAAGATGGGCACAGATGTCGGGTGCAAGACCAGCCACATGAAAAAACAATACTTCGTGCATGATGTTGTGCCCTTGGCATCAGCATGTGTATGTATGGTCAACGCTATTCGCATTGCCACTCCCATGTGTCATCAGGTGCGACAGCAGTACACCAATGACTCTTGTCAACGGTACTCAGGTCGCGAGGAGTCTGGGATGGTGGTAGGCGCACTTGAAAATCATCTATGTGCTGTATCTCACCGTCTTGAAATGAGCCCGATACATGGCCGAATCCGGTGGTTGGGGTCCACACGCCATCGGAGTCGGCATAGGTCTCCGAGATTCCTGCCTCAGCCATGGTGAAGTTCTGGGGCATCGACACCTGCAGACCATCTGGTTCTGCTGAGCCAACCCTGTTGTAGAGGGTCGAGGAGGATCATCAAATGGAGATGGGGGGTTCGCTCGAGTGTACGTGCGCATGCCCCTGATGTAGGTGAACAAAAAGACAACCGGCCACTATTTCGACGAATAAAGACAACCGGTTCTCTGGCTCCTGTTGACCTTAAACAAAAACCCTCCAGACCAGATGCTACCCCGAAGAGGAGCATACAAACAATATTGTGCCTCTGGACATCGATATCCATCGGTATTCTCTCCCGCCCACTAGCTACCGCCCACGTGCCCGCAACATACCAACATCGAGGAACGAAGATAAGCAACCACAGCACCTGCCAAACGTGCAACCCACTCCCTGTATGAAAAAGCGACAGACCCAGCCGCTATGTCGGGTGAGGCAACGCAGCGAAAAGTACTCCAGTACCAAGCCCGGCTGCCATGGTCTTGACGCCCGACAATGCCGAGGTCATGTGCGTAGATTACAAGAAAATTACATACCGTAGGTTACATGAGATATCACACACCATCGGACCGATTTTCAAAGCTCGGTTTCTCCACAGCAAGAGTGGCGAGGCCGAAAGTGGCGGCGTTGGAGTCATCTCGTCGAGAGCTTCCTGAAAATGCATCGTTTCATATACGCATCTTCTTCGTGGAGAAATGTACTGTAGCTATGAATATCGATGAAGGTGTGGTATACGTCATCTACGGTACGTGGGTTTCACAAACACCACGCCCCCCGGTTCGATTTCAAAGCTCGATTGTGCCCCATGACCAAGAGAAACCCAAACTCCAATGATGTGTTTTCGGCAAGCTCTGGACGAGGAAGTTCCAACTCAACCACTTCGGTACAGTACTGCCACCGGCTGTTTTGGCTGGGGGTAGATACTGAAATCAGCTTTGAATATCGGTCCAGGGGGTATGGTATCTTACGCAAAACTCGTACGTACATCTGTAGCCACACCACCAATATTTGTGGTGGTGGTTCGATGGAAGACAGGCGACAGGGCAGCAGCCGTTCCTCCACAACAACCTTCGGTACGGAATCTCTCGGGATGCCCCCCGAATATCTTCTAACGAAAAAGCAAAACGGCCGCTTGAAATCACACGGATGCAGAGAAGAAAAAGGTCGCGTTCTTCAAAGCACTTTGCACGCGAAACGACATCATATTTACACGATCACAGGTTGTGATGACCGAGCGTCGAGTGATGTACTGCTGTAGACTAGGTCTGGAGACTGCCGACCAGCCAACCTTGAAGGCGACATGCAACCCCACCGAAAGTCCACCCGAACCCTCCGGCAGGCAACGGAAATCAAGATCCACGGAACGTACAGTAAACCAAGGAGCCACCAGAGAGTTCGACCGTCGGAGCGTCGGAGCGCCCGGGGCAGCTTGGCTGCAGCTTGGCATGGCAAAATGTACAGCTGGTGCATCACTGGATGGATCGGAACGAAACACCCGAGCTGTACTGACCTTTCCTGCTGCATGTAGGCACCTGTGCCGGGAGCTACCTGCTCTCGGGCCAGTCCCGTGGGCTCCGCAGTGTACGAGGGAGCCGCAAGCTCTTGATCCGAATCAGACTTCTCATCCATGGCTACAGCACTCGTACACCTGGCCTTGCCGTGCAGGTCTTCGCTTAGGGGCATGCCGCTGCCGGTAGGCAGCACGAGACGGGCAGCAGCAGCCGCCGCAATAACGAGAGTTGTGTGTCGACTTCAAGCACGAACAAGCCAACGGCCAGACCGCTTGCGCCGGAGTGTGGGTGCCAACACCCCTACCCTATACCTATATACCCCATGATGTGGTTGTTGCGGGCTCTACGCCAGACGAGAATATTCTCAGAAAGGTACGCAGCAGTCCATAGCAGCTGGATACCACCGTAGGCAAAGCGGAACACTCACACCGCGCGGTTAGGCCGTGAGGATCAATGTATCGTGGATACATTGTGTATAGTGCTGGGTTGGCGTGCTGGGCACGTGGTAGGGTAAGCCAGTGCGTGTGACAGCAATAATAGAGCTGACACGTTTTGGTAAGAAGTACAGTAGTAAGGCAATCATCAAATAAATATGGCCAAAATAAGGCCCTCTCTTTATCGCGAGGACGTAATAGTCTAAAAAAGCAGCATGCACCGATGAAGTTCCACTAAACTTACTTCCACACAGGCTCTCGAGAGAGTGTCACGTCCAACCTATTTTAGTGTTGCAATGAAGACACCCGTCCGTTTCCAATCGAATATCTCCTCTCTTCCCTCTTCCGGGACATTTCATGCAAAGTGTTTTTTTGTGTTTATGTTCGGGCGCCGAACATCAGACAGCGAGGGACCTTGAGACTTTGTGCTCAATAGATCACGCACCTTTTCCTTGCCGCAGCGGGGATGCTAACTAATCTCTCCTCGCAAAGAAAAAGGTAGAGAGAGGACGAGGGACTGGGGAGCCGATACTGCTTCAACCACACACACATTAGCCCTCTTGCAAAAAACAAAAATGCTCCTGCTGGAAGGGTCCACTCGTGAAGATTGCAACGAAGATGCAAGTTCTTCCCGACATGAGCAAAAACAACAATCTATCTCAGACTCTTTTCTATGATAGAGATGGTTTCGTTGTGTCATATTAAGAAAAATAAAAAAAACAATCGCTGTGTGTGTGTGTGAAGCAGGCGAATTTAAACCTTGTGTAGTTCAACATTGACCGGGCCAGCCGGCTGGCCAATCGACGCGAAACAGCGAGAACATTCCAATGCAAACGGCTCGAATGCAGTTAAATCCGAACCCGGAGGCCACGCTCAGTCTCCTCATGTCACACGCTCTTCGCTCCAAACGTACTTCTAGCACACCTCCGACACTACTGTACACTCAGTCAATATTGGACGATGACGATGCTACTACATGCACCTGTGCACCTTGCGAGAAATTGTGTCTCTCTCTATGCACAACACCTATACGCGAGAGTAATTGCCAACGCCGCGAAAAAGGCAACACCACAGCTGGAAACGAGATCTACGCACAAATCTTGGTGCGCTTCACATGAGCACAGCACCATAACATGATAACGTCGCGACAACTCAGACGGAACAGTGACCAGGTCGAGACACACCCAACTAACAGCTGTACACTGCTGCTGATCACACGTCGATTTCAACTATGTGTGATTATTTCAGAAGGCTTGCAGTCTCATTGTTTATTCTTTTGTCCTCTTGTCAACGTGGGAACAAGAAAAGGACACAAGAAAAACAACCATCATCCCCGACAGACAGACGGGTGCTGACACGACCACGAACTGTCCAACGCGATCCGCAGCTACTCACGAGCAGTGTTCCTCTACGGAAACTTTCCCGGTGTCACAAACAATTGCGCTCGCGTTCTCATTCGTAGTCGTCGTCGTCAACGATAAAATCGCTCATGTTGTCAGGTTCCGCGCTCCCGCTGCTCACGTCGTCCTGGTATCGCCCGCGTCTCCTGCCACCACCACCACCTCCCCGAACAGCCTTCCCCGCTCCTGCTCCTGCCCTCTGGCTTCCGCGCGGCAAGCGTCCACGGCTGCCGCTGGTGCTGTCACTGTCGTCGCTTGTGCTTGAGTCAGCCTCGTCGAGTTGGTCCAGCTTGGTGCGGCAATCATGCTTGGCCTCTTGCTCGTAAACGATGCGCAGCGGGACGTAGAGCCACCTGTAGAGGTCGTACCAACCGGTTGCAAACACGGGGCGCACGGCTTGGGCTCCGCTCTGACGTTTGAGCTATCTAGTGCCACACTGCTGTTTGACGGATCTTTACAAAGGAATCTTCTCTCAACCTACCCAATGCCGGGGGCTTGCCCCATGCTCTCTCGTGAAAATTATGTCGAGAGGGGCACTGCGTTACTCCACTAATACCAACATCGCACGCCATTGGGGTGGAAGCATTGATCTTCGCATATAGTCTATTTTATTTAGCATAAATCGAAGAATACACCAAACACAAAAATTGGGTCTTGTCTTCTGTAGCCATTCTGCCTAGAACGGAACTTTCATCATTCAATTTCAATTCCCCGTCCTTATACACTTATCACTCCAACCCCCTTGGCATGTCAGAGAGGGCGACGTCAGACTCACGCTGTTGGGAAACAATCAACTCTTCATGACATAGCTTCCGAAGAACAAATGAAGAGAGGAATACAGACGTGCGGAGCAGAAATTCGAACAATATTTTCAAATGTTAAGTTCAGTACTTCGAAGTACATCAACATCGCACAGTCACAGGCACACACACTGCAGCAAGCGCTGGCAGTGTGTTGGGCATCAAAACAAAATATTTCTTCCAACAGAATTGCTACCCAAGCAAAGTATTAGCCACCCCAGGAGGCATGTCTCACTTTCGGATGGCTTTCATCTCCGCCCACGTCTCTTCGCGCCAGTATTCCTTAAAAGTCTTCATGTTGGCCATGTACTCGGCTTTCCCCACCAGCTGCCGACAACCATATGAGGTTAAAGTTAACAAGTTAGGCATCCAGTACTCCTTGGAACGGGTGACGAAGTTGTGACTCTAGGCTTAGAAATGTTGTTGTCTTCACGTTAAGGATAGGGCTAGGGTAGGGCTAGGGTTGTTACGGTTAGGGTTAGGGTTGTTACGGCTAGGGCTAGGGTTGTTACGGTTAGGATTTGTGCTAGGAATGACGACGGGAACAAATGTTACTGCACCTGATCGATGGCAAGCTTTTCGTCGTCCCACTTCTGCTCCGCCCATTCTCCCTTTCGAAGGTCTTCGGGCCCGACCCCGGTCGTGTCCATGTGCTCTCGAACCTTACACACCAGATACAGCTTGTAGTGTAACAAGCTGGCACGAGGCCGCGTCATGCGTAGGGTGACCATACAGATGACGATTAGGTTCGGGTAGGGTCCGGTCAGAGTGAACGGGGGGCAATCGTTGTCGGGTTTCGCATACTTCACGGTTCCACAGGCAGAAATGGAACACGGAGAGTGAAGATCAATAACCAGCTGAAGAGCACCATCCGTTTTCAGCGAGGATCTGGGGTCGAGGGGACAAGACTACCATAGTGTAGAAGCATGTCGTCAGCCCCGCTGCATGCCTCCGGCGGCAACTGGTGGGTCTAGCTAGGGTCGTGTAACTCAGGGTTTCGGGTAAGCGTCTTGCGTGCTGCGGGGGACACTGCAGACTCGCGCCCAGACACACATGTCGTCGCAAGGGCAGGCAACGCACCCCTCGTGAATCGCAGGCAACCTGGCACGTAAAACGAAACAGAGGCGAGGTGTGGAAGAAGACAGAAAAAGGGCACACACTACTGTCCTGGGTGGCCCAACACGTCACACTACAGAAGTACGGTGGCTAAAATGTAGTACATGGTGTGTTTCTGTTCTTACGTGTGATAGAGGTGCGACTTGTAGCGGCACCTCCCCCCGAGGCCAAGACGCTCGCGGACTTTCTGAAAAGCGGTCAACAGGCGGGAAGGGGCAGGATGGCAGCAGTGTGAAAGATATACTAGCTGTCGCTACAACGAGCGACAAATGATAGATGTAACTGTCGTCAGGCGTGTGCGTGTGCGTCCACGAGCGGAAACAGAGTGCAAACACCACACACTTGATACTACACCTCCTGTGAGAGCTGTAACGTTAACTTTCACCTACCGGTAACCCCCCCCCCCCCCCCCCCCCTAAAACCCGCTTTTGGGGCCCTAAAAACCCCCCCCAAACAAATGCTGAACCCCCCCCCTCCCCCTTTTTTGTGCGGGGGTTTGCCAACAGCCACCAAAAAAGCCGGAAAAAAGGTTGTTTTTTTAACCCCGCCCCCAAATTTGGAAGGCGCCCTTTTGGGCGTTC